CAATGCAAGTATAACGAACGGATCCGAGATGACCATTTAATCCAGTATATATGTATAAAGGTAACAGAAATTTGAATATTAACGAGCAGACGGGATATTACTCGGTCTCCAATAACACTAAACTGCTGATTTCATTGCGCCTGCAGTGTATTCACTTTATATACGGGCCGAGTTTACAATGTTGCTTTAAATATCAATGTTTAATTTATCAGTACGCATTCAGAAGTGAAAATTATTATCGATATTTCATCGCGATAATCGAGACGAAATCGAATGCGGCGATACTAAGCTGGTTAGGTGTTTTTGACCAATAACAACAAAACGATCTTATACCGTCCAATTTTATTTGATACGTATGTTATACTTTTACCACCTCTCTACATTCGAATTACTATGTAGGAATATTGTTGTATGGAGACAGGAGGGGTCTTCATATATTTGTAATGTATAGAGTTGTCTCGATTGAAATCATTTATATGCTAATGAGAGGAGGCGGCATGATTCCAGTAAAACCGGTATGTAGCTGTTGAGTTCGATACTTTGTACAATTATCGTTGAAAAAAAAACCATGAGGAAGATAAAAAAATCTTACAGCTAATTGAAAATTTATTCAGAGGCGTCTTTAAAGTTTTACTTTTCGTCAAATGGATCTGTTTATAATTTGATATCTTATAGAAGTAACACAAAAATGTACCTAAGAATTGATTTCTTTTCGAATCGATATTAGATAATTTATTTGTTAGATAAATTTTATTTTAATTTCATATAGAGATACATATATCGTTTTGTCTTGTCTTGTATTAAAGATAAGTCGTTGTGCGAAGGCTTGCGACTATAAATAGGATTGGCTTGTTCATGTTTGATTGCCCGCATGGCACCTGCTACAAATATATTATATTTAATAAAAACCTTGGTTGTTATGGAATAATGTCACATCTATAAAATAAATAAATATTTCCTATAAGATCAAGATAACAAATATCTATTATTTAAACGATTTCAATCTTATCTGGAAATTTCATTTATTTTATAATTTAATTATTTGTATTAAATAACAATAATATTTATTATTATTATCTTTGTAATTGCGATATATGTCGAAGGTAGTAATTAGAGAAATAATAAAACTGAAATATTATTGCTAGTTTTATTAAAACGACCTTAATACCTTAACCTTTGCATCACTTGTTAAGTATACACAATCAAGGATATGCGTTTAAATAAATATTGAGGAAATCCAAGCCCATAAACACTCAAGATGACTTTTCTAATAAGAATATTTTATTCAAACATTACTTTCGTTGGTTTTGTTGTCTTTTTTTGTGCTTATTATTAGACTAGCGTTTGTTATACTTCGCGCAACAACAACGTTACAATATTAGGTATGACAAGCAATGAATTACGTAACCGAAAATACTCATAACCCGAATACAACTACGCGGCTATAACCTACGTGTTAACATAACTACGCTCTGCTACCATCGAGTTGTACCGTACACGATGGCTTAGGGTTCCGCGGCACAAACCTTAGACTACATGTTACAGTGCATGGCGTAATATAGCTAATAGATGAAGTGGCACTTACCAACTCAATGCCCCATTCACAGCTTTCAGTTGCTTGGTCACTTTCTTGATGTCAGTCGAATCGAATAAGTCACTATCAAATAGTCTGTAGGCGCCAGCGATGCTTCCCTCCTGATGCACCCGATACACTGCATCCCGTAAGCGCTATAGACGCGCCATTGTATAACCGAACTGTAAACTTAAGCAACCCTAAACGCTAGGAAACCGACACGTCCGCTGGGTAATTCTTTTCGACCAACTTCCGTCAACTCACGATAATTACTAAAATGTGTCGACTAATGTCTTCCCCCGCAAGACCCCGCGCGCCCCGCACCCGACCGCAGCGGTGAGTGATTTTAAACTACCTTCTTGTGCGAGTGGAAAAAATTACTCGAGCTACCTAAGTCATGTACCGAACTCAGAAATCAAAACTATAGGTCTTTGATTGCATATAAAGTTGTATTAACAATTATTTTTTATTATTTTTGTCATATTTATTTTAGAATTTTATTTTCAAACTGCGTATCGGTGTGCGTTTTAGAAATTATTTACGTTTTAAGGATATACGTTACAGTGGCGCCCCCTAGGTTCTTATTTTCTTCTGGCTTAAACCTATTAATGTAATAGTAGGTTTTTAATCTTTATACATCGCGTTACATAATCACGAAAATCATCAAAAGCGTCAGAAATAATACATTTTTAACATATATACATTTCATTATAAAATGTACTGAAATTATAAAATTAAGAAAATGTTACGTGAGTGGAAGTACTATACGTAATAGTCTTTCGAGGGTTTTTCTCCTGCAATAAAGTTGCCAATAGATGGCGGTAATATATATTCTAAGCTCAAGTTAAATATTCGGACTATATTAGAGTAAAATTATCTTAAAAATTTACAAAAGATATTACTAATAATAAAAGCTTGTAGATAAAGCTACTCTAGATAATGAATCTCAATTTTTTGTTTTGTCGTTATAAATAATTGATCCATTATTCATTTGGCATGGAATATTTTACGACCGATATACTATCTTCTATTTTAAACTACCTAGTCTTCCTTTTTTAACTAAAAGGGAAACAAAGTTGACGTCCATATCGGTCGACGTTGGACTTGCAGAAGGTGTGAGCGACCTCTAATATACTTACCGAGACATTGACTTCACAAATGGTAGAGCTAGATCAGCTCTTATTTAACTTGAACTAGACTCAAATAGAAATATTGAATTGACCAAAATATTTCGTTAACAATAAAAACATCTTAGTTATATCAGTGTAATTGCTTTTTCCAAAAGAAGTGATATTGAATCTTTTGCCAAATAAAATAAGGAACAGTTTTCAATGACATTTACAATAACGTAAAGAAACAATTTCAAAGACGTGAATTTAAATGTCTATAGACAATAGAATTACATGTTTTTTTGTAAACAATGAATCCCTATGACAGCATCCGTATTGTAAGAAAAACGGTTGTATTAGCACGTAGGTGCTATTAACGACGATTCGTTAAGGGGCACGGTAAGAAAGAAAATTACGCAAACTGGCTGTAAGACTACGCTTAGATGCATTTATGATAAATACTAAATATAATATAGCGAATGTAGTACGTTCAGTGTAAATTATGAAAAAAGTAACGATTTTCATGTTGAACTACTTCCAGTATTGGTAACCTGATGACTGTTTGGTTTTTATTTTATCGCTTATTAAATATTTTAATAAAAAGGTTGGTTATATTTATAGAACCTCGCGTCTACTACGGATATATTATTATTTAAGAAAACAGGGCATTATTATTATAAATTACTTTGTTTCTGTTACCTTAACGATGATCTCTACGTTGTTATTTAAATTTTTACATTGACTTTACAAAAACTACATTACTATTTATTAAGCTTACACTATGTTTCGTATCGGTGGGAAGACGACCTCAAAAAAGTTGCAGGTCGTTTATGGATTAGAGAAGCCAGGGATAGACAAAAATGGAATCTTTAGAGGAGGCCTTTGTGTAACTTAAAAAAAATGTATAAAATTTGTAAAAATCTTCAGCAATAAAGGCTTTATTATTATGTCTCGTATTAGCTTAATGTAAGTTACAAACTCAGCCTTAGTATGACTGATAAATAAAGAAGCAATAAGTTTAATTATGATTTATAGATCCTCATTCAAACACGAAGTAATGAGGCCCTCGAGCTGTTGCTTGTTCCACTTCAGGGACTTAAGAATGAATAAATCACATGCGTAGGTAAGCGGTTACTTCTGTGTGTATCTTATTGTATTTGTGTCCATATTGTGGAATATGCAACATGGAACATTTAATATTCCACCTTATGTCTGTGTAATAGAACACAATTTTGTAAAAACTCAATTTTATTATACTCCAGTAAGGAAATATCTGAAGCTTTCTCTCTCACGTATTATAGTAATTGTGATTTAGGTCTCCAATCATGATTTGATGGCTTTTATGAATGAATTCAGGCTTAGGGAATGTTTTAAAGCATTGTAGATAATACCGTCAAGGAATATTTAAATTGTGATGTTTTTTCTTTGCCTTATTAAGAAATTTATGCAAATAGACGATTTAATTTTTTGGTATAAAGTATTATTCTAAGATGTTTCTTTAATTTTATTATAAAACATTTTTAATTACATTTTCTTTTTATAATAAATTGGCTAAACATTATTTTTTCATTACTTAAAATGTATATTACATATAATATTTATTATATTCAGATTCAGGAATAAAGTAAAAGAAACCAAGACACGACGAAATATTTAATCTTTTCCCTTTCATACATTCTTTTCTAAATTCGTCATAAAACTGTCGAGAGCACATTCATTTATAATTATACTTAACAAAAACCTCACATTTTTTTCTGGCGTGTAATTAACTACATTAATTTATCTGTACAATAATAATTACGAGACCTTTAATTATTATAGATATTAGGTAAGTATGGTTCTATAAGTTAACTACTGAGACATGAAGATAGAATCAGAAGGAAGCAGGTTATAGTCTGAAAAGCTACTCCTTAATTAACAATGAATACAACCAATAAGTACTTTGCCAATTACTATCATCTTCAAATATTAAGTTGCTTTCTCTTTTCTAAAAAAAAATATAAATATATTTTGTTTTAATTTCAAAGGAGGAAATTATTTATAATCTATACCAATGACATAAAATACTGAATGAAAAAACAATAGTTTCCCATTTGAAATAGAAGCAAATATTAAAATATTCAAACGTTAAGAATTGATAAAAAGTTACTAAAGAGAAAACAACATTTGAAGATAACATTTTTGTGTGGCCATACTTCATATAAAGCTTTTCAGACATTGAATCGCTTTCAGTTATTATTTTCATTTCATTTTAAAAATAATTTAGATAACTTTTGTAAAACATAATTACTAAAGGATTTAATACATCGTCTAAGTTATAATATTTACAATTACAATTTTATCAATTAATATTAGAACAAAGCCACGTCTAAACACTATTAATGTAACATTCTTGATTTCTTTCCTAAAAGATTGTATTAAAAGTACTCTGTAAAAAAAAATGTGGTCTTGTTTGTAAGTTTGTCTATTTTAAATATGTTTTGCACTTATATAGAAATTCGGTCACCTAGACGAGGTCGCCATTTTGTACAAAAAATCTAATTTATTTATAGCATTACGGAAAAATATAGTTTCGAATGATTTAGATGAGTCTACTGAGTTTACAATAAGACATTCATTATATAAATATATGAATTAGGAAAGATTTGGGAGTAATACGAGTGATCTAAGCGAGATCTTCCAACTCTAAATATTTTTGTCTACTTAAATAAAGACATACAATCTGTACACAGTAAGTCTAATATTTTAAAATTCGATGTATTAAGAAAAAGATACAAATGGAAGAAGTTATATGTATAAATAAATAATAAAATATTTAACTAAAACAAAAATAAAAAGCAATAGACAGGCTTAAGCGAACAGTACAATGAGTCAAAGGACAATATTAATGCACTTGGCCCATATTACCTAATTATACATTGATTATAACATCAACTTCAAATATTTTCAAAATAGTCATAACAGTAACTTAATGTAACTACTGGAACCGAGTTAAAGCTTTGACAGAAATCCATAATTTAAAATAACAAAATTTACGATTTATGATATAAGAAATTAAACAGTAATAAATATTTGATCATAATGCAGGCTGCACTGTCATAAATGTTTTAAAAAGCGACGCGTTGATGGTAAAATATAAACAATACGTTGCTAGAAACTTTGATGTAATCTGTGGACATCGTACAAGCTGCATATCTAGAACTGCCACCAAAGCGACCCGAGTAATTCAACAATTTGGTAACAAAAATAAAAGTTAACTGATTAAACACTAAACCACCGTCCGAGCATACGACTAAAACGATAAAGCAGTCTCAGATATTATATTACAAGAAATCCCATCGCGACAAACTATCTAGGATCTACAATCCATCGGTGACATCTTTAATTTTACATTTATATTTACTTAAATAATTTTTCAAAATACATATTCAGCGTTCTATAACTAAATATTAATAATATCAGGAATCGTTATCTGCTCACGTACTAAGTCTCGTTACAGTTACAAGAACAATTCGTAATTAACACTATACACAAACCGACAGCACGATAAATATTACTTTGAGATTCTCTGGGACTCGTTGTCTTTACGTACGTAGCGGCATAGCAACGTTCACTCCGGACACGAACAAAACCTCGGAACCTTAAGTACATGCAAGACACATCACTACATCTGTCCTCGCGTTTAGCTAGCTATACCGTGGTGCAGCGGGTAGGTCCCAGAGAAGGGCGCGGGTCACTGATGATGCTTGGCGGGCGGTGCGTGGTGCAGCGCCACATGGTGCGGCGCATGATGATGTCCGCCATGGTGGTTGTGGTTATTCGCATTCGAATTGTTGTTATTATTCTGTGCTGCCTGAGCCGCTTGTCGCTGTGAATTCTTCTTGTTCTTCATCCGTCTGTTCTGGAACCATATCTTGACTTGTCTCTCTGTGAGGTTCAGATTCCTCGCGAGCTCCCATCGCTTTTGTTTCGAGACGTAAGCGTTGAAGAGAAACTCCTTTTCCAACTCGAGAGTCTGGAATTTGGAGTAGGGTTTGCGTTTTTTGCGCACCGTCACCTGCCCGGTCCAGTCCAGGGGGTTAGAGGAGCCGCAGCCTACGCCGACGCCCACCGACATCGATAGGGAACCTGTACAAAGAAATACAAAATAAATACCACAAACATTTTCAATAACTTTTCAAAATTTCAGTAAATGTCAATTATTCATGAAGGGATTCAACCTACTACCAAGTATATTATGTACTATATAATGCACAATTAACCTGTCCATTATCGGCTGACGAATAGCTAAACAATAACAGATTTGAAAACAATAAATTTTAATTACAATAACCTTGAAACCCGAATCGCCGCAGCGCAGCAGAACATGTAGTTAACTAGCAATTTCTATGCGAAGCTAAAGAGAAATAATCGCAGGTCGAGGCGATAGAACTAACACGCGGCTCGGTTTATGTGAGCGGTCCTTTTGATGAGATCATCGGCGGACTTTGTATGCGAGGTTCGCAACCTTCTCGATATTCGATGCAGTCCGCACACTGCACCATTTCCTATTATTCAAAACGGTACAGCGAATGTTGCGAAATAGAAACCGCATTGTCTAAACGAGACTACAAACCATTCAATGTTTTGACGAATAGAGTCAGTGCTAGTCTGTACGTTTAGAGCTTAGTAAATATGGGTAAGACATTAAATTCCACTGGATTCCCTAGTTGCGTGTTGTGTGTTAACGTGTGCCTGCTTTTTCATTAATATTGGAGATACTTGTTGGACATAAATAATATATTTAAAACATAAAATCAAATCTTAAATCAAATCTCTTAATCTGAAAATTATGCTCGTATATTTTATATGACAAATATAATTGGGCAGAATATGTAAAAACTATGTAGAGTAAAATAATTGGATTATTTATAAAATAATACTGAATATAAATTTTTTAATTAAATATTTAATATCATTACGAGACAAAGGTTAAATGGCACTCAAAACTTTCACAATCCTATATTTTAAGCTAAGCTTTGAGCAGAGTTTAAAGTAGACCCTACGGTTTACCTGCTCGTACAGAACGACCCAGAGTTGAAAACATCTCGTCCATTAGATATCTAAGCGTAACATAAAACTGCCCTATCGCAACATCCGAATTGCGTTGCCTCAACTTGATATATTTTTTTTACAATATACCGTTTTAAAGTTGTTTAATAAATCAGATTTTATTGATGCAATTAATCACTTTTAAATAATTACCTTTATATTCGTAAATCCAAGGTGATATTTTTTTTCTATATTCTAATTTATACGGGTAATATGATAAGTGAGTGTATCATTTTATTAATTGTAATTTCATAAAAATATCTCAATAATATTAAAGATTTCGTTACTAATTAAAATGTCTTATTATCTACTGATTCGTTGTAAAATGGTACAAACAAATCGTGATTGCGAAGAAGAAATCAAGTCTGTTGTTAGAATCGTTTGGTTTCTTTTCATAATACAGAATGATATTGTAGCGCAAGCGGTTACTGTAGAGTTCGTGGAATGTTCTCTAAAACTTTGCGAAACAAATATAACTTACAAGTTGGAACGAGCGTCAGTTTCGCTCCGGACTTCAAATGAAATTGTGTCCTGTCCAGCCTTCAACGTTACTTATTTTATTTTCTTTAAAAATCTTTAATTTACATAAAAATGTATAAAATTTTAATAGTAAATAGATGGTGGATTATTGAAATCTTAAAACTTAAAGACCTGTATGTTACGAATTAAGTATTTGTAGAAAATAATCAAATAATTTCATTAACGCAAAAAGTTTTTAGCTCAACTTGTTCTTAGACTTTTATTTGTTACGTTTAAGAAGCAATTAGTGTCGTAAAAGTGTAAAGAGAAGCGAGGATGTCAATTATAAAAAGAGGTAGCGATCAGTGGCAGTAAAAGTGCGGTTGTCTTCCCCCATAAAAACGTATCTATTCGTACTCGGGTTTGCTCCACTCTGAGAAAATTTTCTACCAATCATAAACAGCAAGAAGGTTCTTATACCTTTGGAATAGAGTTGAAATTCCTATACAAGTTTTGTTTGAGAGCAGTTACATGTTTATAAAATGTTTTATTTTCCTTAATTTCTTTCGTTGTTGATAATGCAAACGTGAAAAAATCACAACGCATATGAAAAGTTTAAGATTTATTCAAAAAATTCAAGTATTGTTCAACTTTTAAATAAAGTTAGTAAACATAAGTAATTAGCTAATCGTAGTAATTGCATAACCGTTAAAAGCAATAAATACAGAAATCAAAGTCAATGTCAACCTGATCCGAGCCATAAACACAATAATAACTTCGCACAGCCCCGCAGGTACAACTTTTTCAACAATTGTTTTCCTTTAATGGGCCATTATACACGCGTTTTACGCAAAATTATGTCAAGTTACACCTCTGGCATTGCAGAAGCGCGATAAAGTCATCTTTATGGTCAGCCGGCGATCGAAAGCGAACTAGTAACGTGGCGCGGCTTTATGAATGGAGTGTTTTTATTGCTCTCATATTGACATGACGCTTGTAGTTTCGTAATTACTACTTACTAGCGCGATTTAGGGAGGGAATCAGTATTATTGCATGTCTGACTTCGTCGCGGTTTTACGATATCATAAAAGTGATATATATCTACGAGTGAATCTTATGCACCGACCTAGCCGGCGAGCCTCCGGCTTCCTCTACCATTTTTTATCGCCTCATCAGCCTATAATGTGTTTATTGTGGCAATATTTGGTTTATTGCCACTACTGAGAGATCAGTTTATTGTTTTAACGCTCAGGTATCGTGTTTATTTATTAGTTATACATTTTTATTGGCGCTTTATTTTACGTAAACTTTAATTTATTGTTGGTTGTATAGCGCCGTTTTACATTGCCTATAAAACGGTGCTTACGATTCGTTTTTAAACATTGGTAGCACGTGTTTCGTTCATTCATCAGATTTATGGTGGTCTGTGGGAAAATGTTATGATTGGAGTGTTGGTTCGCTGTTCAAGGAAATTTTGGAAGATACGTGAAGGTTGCAACATGGCATGTTTACGTTACTCAGACGGACGTTCGACTGTAATATTACTTCCGCGATCTTTTGCTGATATTTATAACAATATGCTTGGGGTTTCAATTTCATTGTTGTTTTTAATATTTTTTAATTATTTTCACACTTTTGTGTGGAACCTGTCAATTTAAGCGTAAAAGTACGATTTTGCATGTCATATTTTTTCTGAATTATATAATAACATTTTAAATATAATATACGAAACAATGTATTCGTTTATACTGTTGCACGGAAACCAACAAAAAAAAACGCAAATAGTAGAACCGTTCGAAGTTAATAACTAAGTTAAGTTTTCCAAGAGAAATAATGCAAAGAACGTGAGTGTGCGGTGCATTACTGATAATGACACCCTCACTGGCGCATCGAGAGCGGGTGGAGGCGGGCGCGCTCGTGTGCGCCACGCACACATGCAGCGCCACGCCGCTGTGTGCCGCGCCACACCGCCATCTAGGGACCAAAGGCTGACAACTGAGTGGGTCAAGGTTGATAAACCCATAGAAAAATTACTTCAAAAGTTTACAAATAAAACTTGACAAATGCATGACATATACTTATAATATAAATAAATAGGATCTTAAGCTGTAAAAAACTCATGGCCTCAACCCCGACCACTAGGCTAGAGTTCGTAAACCAAAGTTATTTGTTTACAAATTCAAGAAACTTGTGAAGTGTTGTAGTACACTGCACACGTCAGAGACGCGATAAGTAAAAAGATTACAAACAGTACGGTCACGATCGGACTTTAGTAACGTGAGGGTCGGGTTTGAGGAGTGTTGAGAACTGAACAGTTTTATAGAATAGGTACTAACCGGGTAGTCCACTGGGCGGTGGGTACGGTGCGCTGGACACCGCCTCGGGCGCGTAGTTCCGGAGACCGTATGCGTCGTGGGAGAAACCAGAAGCTTCGGAGACCGCTGTACGCCGCTCCTCGCCGCCCACGTACGGCAGCGGCTGGTCTCCGCGAGGTGCTCCATACGGGTAGTTCCAGCAGGGCTGAGAGAAGCCCTGGTGACAGCCGCCATCCGCGTAAGGCTTGTAGTCACCCCCGCTCGCGGGCCAGAAGGGTAGCGACTTGCGTTCCCTTTCAACTGGCAGATTATAGTAGGTAGGCGCTGCGGGGTACTGGTGCTCGAAGGCGGCCGGCGCATCGGGGGGGTAGCCCCAGGGCTGCTGCGCGTGCCGGATGACGCCCGGCTCGGGGTCATAGCGCTTGGCCGGGATGTGTAGTGGCTGCGGTGGGTTGGAGCCAACGGAGGCCGGCGAGGCGCTGGAGGCTGAAGGCGGCGCGGCGGCCGGCGCGGTCGGGGGCGAGCCGCCAGGGGGCGACGCGTGCGCCTCCTCGTACAGCGCGCCGCCAACGCCGTTCATCATGGTCCACCAGGCCGGCCCGGCGGAGTGGCCGGATGCGGGCGCTGGCGAGGCGGCGTCGCAGGGCGCGCCGAGGCCCCCGACATGGTTGTCAGGGTACAGGGTGGCGGTCGGGCAAGCCACGGGGGAGCGGGAACGTCGCCGGCCGTTCACGCGCGTCGCGGGCACATCGCACCGCGAGCACACGCGTCCCGCAACCACCAGCCGCACATGAAAGTCAAGCGAGCCTTGATTTAGCCGGCGGTCGGGTGCTTGATATCGTGGACTACAAGTTCACTAGCAGCAGAAAATTCGCGATGGTAAATAGTATTGAGTGACTAAGTTCGCCACCGGCCGAAAGTAGTTTGCGCGGACGTAGTGTCGGCACGAGTACGTAGCGTCGTAAGGTTCGCGAGATGCAATATGCGAGACGCGCGGTCGGCGGCGCGGCTGGGCGCGGAGTGGCGGCGCGCGGATACTCCACGGCACACAGGCGCGCTGCGCGGCGCCATCTAGCGGCGGGCGGCAGGGGGGCGTCGCACACAACTACGCGCTCACTTTACAGGACTTTCAACAAAAACTAAATTTAAGCTTTTCATATGGAAAGGCTTTCAGTTCAAATTTTAAAATAACTCACGTATTTTATTTTTTTAATACTAAGTAACATAGCATTTAGTTCGTTTTATTTTATTTGCTGTAGTAGAAAAAAAAATAAAGCACATAAACAAAATAAAACTAACCTACTACAAAATTATGGAACTTACATCAGAAATTTATAATTAAAATTATTAGTAGTCGTATTTTTTAAATTGTGACTAAATTGTTCATACAATGAAAATGTTGTTGATGTAGAGACGCTTGTGTTTTCGGGCGCGAAGGGTTGTATCGTTGTGTCGGAGGCGCGGGTGCGTACTAAAGCGATTAATGGAGGCAAAATAGCCATAAACTGCCGTTTAACCAAACTGCAAGCGTCACTCGACCATCGCCGAGTTGCCACCAATAAAAAACGCGAGACTTTATGACGGCAACTCACTCACGTTTTATTGTGAGTATAAACTTAATTTTATCGTCTGTTAATTTCACCACAAATAATCCTAGGTAATACGCGATTATGTCATTTTATGTCAATGGCAAGGTCGCGGACTGGTGACTTTATTTTCACTTTCGGAAGTTGAATGTATTTTTCACCTGCATTTGACTCTACGAACTTAGACTAACCTCTTTCACGTCGACAACAATTCCGTGAAGTCCCCACATCGATGTCCCTAAGAAGTAAGCGACGCCCTTCCTTTCATTCGTACGACGAGTCAAAATGAACAATACAATATACCGATAAATCTACTTACAATATTTCACACCTATACAACGCGATGTTCTGTTTACTCAAGACACGGCCATAAAACACATCAGGATAACAAAAGAAAAGCACATAACTCGCTAAGTAATGCTAACATTCGTGTTAACAAGTCGTCTGAAAGCTTTACAACGGGCATTATGTTAATTGAAACCGAATTGTGGATATAAAATATGCGATCGTTGTATACAAAAAGCTAATTTCCCACCCTTTCTATACAGATCGAGTAATTATTGAACGACAATGGTTGTTTGAATTTGTAAGCGATAAATTTGCGAGCTATGAACGTGTTAACGAAATTATTAAGCAGGATTAGGAGCTCTGGGATGGCTGTTTCTGCAATACTGAGCTGTGACTCATTGAATAAACTATTTGTCACTGAATCTGAACTGAATCTTTTATTTGTTCTGCAATTTATTTGTCAATCTTTGTACGTGATAGGCCACGACAGTCCACAGAATCTTAATGAATAATGAATCTTAACACGTATCTACTGTTTAAGTTTTAAATATGTCGACTGGCTATCGAATGTTTAAGAAATACTGTTAATGAATCAACATTTAGTAATCAGTGTCATTGTATATGTATATGAATGAGTAGCACTGATAATAGCAGCCATTGTAAAAAGTCTCGTCAGCTTTATTTTTTTATCCATGTAAATATAGTTCGTCTTGTTTTAAGACTGCAGCTAATAAGGAAGCCTCGATGCTTTGTGGGGAGAGTAACATTACACCAATGCTCCGGGCGGCGCGGCGGCGCGGCGGCGGCGGGCGTTGAATGACACAAACAAACACACAGACAAGTGTGCGCCTGAGCCGGGGCCCGTCTATAAATATTTACGTTAGGAAACTCTCCAGGCCAATGGTCGGCCATACATCGCGCACGTAAATAAAAGTACGCTTTCTTATCTCCGACATGTGTGCGAGTTGCGCAAACGCTCGGATAATGTATATATATTTTATATACATATTTCCACAGTCACGAGTTATATTCGCGTATATAACATTATTTATATCACGTATAGTTTTCAATATATCAGGCAAATGTAAATATTTATTTTAACAGACTAAAAATAAGTTCGACGGATAATAAAAACTATTGTATTGTTTAGTGTGATAGTTTTTCTCGTGCTTTAAAGAAGTTTTTTTAGAAACATTACGTATAATTTTACCTCTTTTCCCGCGCTTAATTATAAAGTTATTCTACTTAGTTCAGAGAATGGTCGGTGGATCAACTCAGACATTTATTTTTTAACGGAATTTCAGCTATCACAAAAATACGGAATATCAAAACATTTCGTACAGAAAAATATCACGACAATTTAATTTAAAAAAATAAAACATAATTCAATTATATTCACCTTGTCGTAAACTCGCTAGCGACGTCTGTGTGAACGGGCACGGCAGCCTGTAAACAAATTAAACATTTCATAACAAATTTCGTACCATCATTTAACAAGCCCCCAGTGGACACTAGGCACATGAATTTCTCTTGAGTTTAAATGTATAGAGATGAAAATAAATATAATATTCGCACATTTTAAAATAGGTTTTAATGGTAGGATCTAAATTAATTAATAAATTTAAAATCTCATTTGTTTATATAGGTAGTTAAATAACCTACAATACATTCTTAAAATAGTGAAAGAAAAAAGTATCTGTAATTGCCCATAGAGGGAAATAAAGTTCGTCACAGTCAGATGTGTTCGAAACTGTATGCAAGTTTCAAGTTTACGGGAAATTACAATTTATTCTTTTAATTAACTGCCATATTTACATCAGAGGTAATTTACAACATTTTTTTATGTTAAAAATTTATGAAGCATTTAATAATTTGCAATTAAGATGTGCATATCAGAACACAGACATATCCTACTTTATTTTATGATTCCGATTTAATGTAATTTAATATGTACAAGAATGAACCTTGTTAATGAATACAAACTAATTTATGGCTTTAGTTTTCTTATTTTAAAAATAGTATAGGGTGGTTTTTATATCTCGTCTGTATAATGACGTGACTAACAAGCCACTGAGAATACAGTAAATCATCTCAGGATGTTAATTCCTCTGTACTCAATATTAGTCTTTTTTTAGCCTCAGTCGCTCCACCCACTTCCATCTCATTGACAAAAGTTCCGCTGTTTTATTTCCTAGCCTTAGTTCGTACCGATAGGAACATAAATAAATCCTTTCTAAGTCATTCGATACGGCGCATAGTCACGAAGTTTACATAAAATAGGTGATTTGCGCCGAATGCCACGGTTTTTTCTTTCCTTCTATTCGGGGTGTGGAACGCACCGGCCCACTTATATTCGAACGCGAAAAAAACATGTTTACAGGCATTTTTTGGTTAACGATCATTGCTTTAGCGGGGACGTGTCGGCGCTCGTAAATACTGTTATGTTATATAACAATCACGTAATTTGCAGTGACTTAGTAATGATTTAAAATAACACACGACAGCTTAATGTCACGCTACAAAAACGTTTGCTATTCGATGGCTTATGACCAGTCTGAAAGGACTGCAGCGACAAAGAAGAATTTGATGTTAAATTTTGTTACATAAAATGTTAACCTAAAGCTATAGTCGTGGTTAATATATGGGTATTTTTCTTTGCAGATTTGCTTATAATAATTAAAAAAATATTATTGTTGCTTCTCGTAAAAATGCAGATTTAGTAATATTAGTGGAATTAAATTAAGTAATATAATGGAAAATGTAGTCTTTATAAAATAGGATAAAAGTATTAAGTACAAATGATCTGAGTAGTTGAGGGATTTATAAACGGGAGTTACATGCGCATCGCACAGAGCAAAACGAGTTTACTTAAGTCGCCAAAACTTGAGTCGTATCAAACTTTGTCGACGTTCATTTAAGTTTATATCCATTCCAACTTGGAACTCCTATCGGGAATCGTAATCCGGGCGTTTCGTTAACTTTTTTGTTCCTTTTTAGTTCTGTATGGGTGAATAGAAAATCGTGGCGATGGCGCGGGGCACTCGACTCGACGTTTTTACGACTCAATCTCAAAGCACAGGCCGCGTTTGGCTATCGAGTACCATTTTAATCAGATCTACCCCTACGCATATGACACTCGTGTTAGGTAAATATCGAGAACCAATAAGACAACACGCGCAGGTCATTTTATAATGGTGTTTAAAGCATTTCAATAGCACTGGTGACAGGACGAGTTTGGACGTTTGTAATCTGTCAGGTCTTGTTATCTAAGCCACAAGTAAGTGTTTAAGGGAGAGGCTCTCCCACGGTTGGTTGAACAAAATGGTCCATTTGGGAATGAATTTGTATAGTATTATATATTTGCACTTTACTCCTACGTAGTCACCGAGCAGTCAAGTAGGCGTAAGTACTACGCATAAGGTATCTCGTCTGTGTAATGACGTGACCAAGACTGAACTCTTGAATGCAATTCTACAAGAAATGTACACAAGTTAGATAGATATTTAATAATCAATGAATATGTCTTTAAATACGATAATTCCAATTGTCTCAAGGTTTTTGCCGGTCCTTTTGTTTTATATTCCACGTCAGCGTTAAGGCTTCGATATTTTGAATATTTTTGAAGCACTAAATTCCTTCTAACGTTTCACGGATTTCTTGATTAAATATTCAGATATAAATATACATATGTTCTCGTCTATCTGTCAACATTTATATAAAGACACGGCCACCTTACATACAGCAAAATGGCGTGCGGATCGATCTGTTTACGCGACATAAAGACATATTTACAGTAATTGTGATAGGGAGTGGGAGTAAGTCCGAGAGTTTAATGGCGCGAGAACTGACTGGATCATATCCCAGGCTTTACGACGCGAGAGAAAACGGCCGATTCATTTGCAATTCTAACTGCGATTTAGCGACTGCTCGTCGGTGATTGTCCGGCCCCAGCTATATCCTGACTGTTGAGGAACTGCTTAATGCCACATCAATTATTATCATACATCTCTCAAACTGTAAATGTCTTATTATAGTACATAAAGAGAGCAAAGGATAGTTTGAAATGACATGTCGCTATTTCTTAAGTATGGGTTTTATTGGAACTGCTAGGTGTGGCTTAATGCTCAGGTACAAATCTCATTCGATATATGTTAGAATTATCTGTAGCATTAGTGTCAAATCAAACAAATCTATTTATTTTAGGCAACTATAAAACTTAAATTATACCCAGGAATGCATTTTAAAAAAGAGTTTATAATACTGAAGAAAGATAAAGTACAGAAATTTAAATAATATATCCATTTATTGAATACATTGATTTGAAAATCTTTAAAAAACTACGGAACACAGATTTTAAACGGCCCACACAAGTCACGATGAACAAGTATACCATTTTGAACCTTAGTAGAAGGTAATAAAGGCGAACATTATACATCATCTCATCAGCATACAACATACATTATATTTTCCCATGCCCACACTGGGAATAGTTCGTTGATATTCACACATTTGGTGATCGATCGGTCGGTGGTCTAAATCACTTAGTATTCGATCCGCTTCCACAGTCCTGATGTTATCTTCAAGGACACATATTGTGATTCGTCGTTTGGCCCGGAATTGATCGCTCCGTCGATATAAGGCCCGATCGATGAATTAAAATGTCTACGGCGTCCTATGTTGCTTTTTCGTGAAAAGGTTTCATGCGACAAAGAAATTTCCACGGGTAAACGACTCACTATAAAGAGAATGTCGGTATATAGCTGCGTAAATGGATTGAAAGGTTTGTTCCGATATCTTTAAGGGAACCTTAATCCGTTATCGATAAATGAACTTCCGATTACGCGTAGAATATAGGAAGTAGGTAGGTATCCTTACTTATACCCCAAATATAGTACATCTGAATTTAATTATTGAATGGTTATATTTAAAGCCAATTTATCAAACATTTAAAAACAGGAACCTTATATTAAGAATTGCTATTTACCTTATCAATTCAAGTGACTATAATTCCTTCCTTTGGACTTCATTTATTATCCTGAACATGTTATTTGAGCACAATAGGAATTGTAAAAGCAGAGCTGCAGAGGTTCAATAAAACGCGAAACGTGTGGAAAATACCTTAACCTTTGAAATACTCGCGTAATACATAAGGTTAAGTGGTTTTAAGACGTGGTATAAATAAAAACTTACATTAAAACTCATGATAACTGTTAGATTTTAATGTATAAATAAGGCAAATGTCTTTTATTATATCCTTTTTTAAAATATCAACAATTAAATTCTAACTAGCGAAAGATCATTAAAAAACATTGTTAAGTCAGTTTTTAAAATAGTGATTTCAAATGAGTTTTTTACAAGTATCGGCAGTGGAAGCCTACGTTAGTAACATATATTTTAAGGTGATTATATACTAGACCATTTCCTTATAATTGAACAGAGCCGATGTATATGTTCTAGTGTATCACTCTATCACGAACCAGATGAGCTTTGGAAATTATGCTTTTAGCTTTATTCTTACAATCATAAGAAGTGTGTAAATCCACCTTTACAAATTAAAATGTCATCATGAATATAATCGCTACAAAGTTGTGTGTTCCTTTTGCTTAACTAACATTGTAATTCCCATTCGTTAAATTAAAGCATTGAATTAATTTGACAGGTCGGTGAATACAAATGGCTGTTCAGTTTTTGATTTTCATTAACTTGGCATTTAAATACGTTCTTTCTTTTATTTTTATCTTCACTAGATGGCTATATGGATTTCTACATAAATCGATTCTCAACATTTTTGTTTTAAGAAGAAATAAATAAAAAAGAAAACTTTGCATATTATTAACTGATTATAATCGTAACTGTTTGTGACGTCATCATTCATTCATCAATACACTCACTTTAGTTTGCCAAATCTGTATAATTTATCTACACACTTTCCGCATACATTTGCGCAGTTGGTATTTTCGTGTTTTGTCAGTATGCCAGATGCATAGCTGCTTTCAATGTAGGCTTGAAATATATATTCAATGAAAATGTTTCAAATTTTTCATGTTAACTGGCTGCACTTAAAACGCACGACCGAAGCCATTATAAAAAAAGTTTATTTTTAGTTTATTTTTGCTCATGTTGAGCTCTAAAACAAACCAACACCAAAGTTACGGCATGCGGCATGCGTGCAAGTAAAAAGCATTTTATTCTAAAGTTATAAAGTAAAATACAATTTTTATAACAAAGAGTACAAAAAGGCTACGAAATTCAACATTACCTGCTACATATTTGTCTATTAAGCTAACATTTTCTACGTTAATTTGTATATTTTCAATATTATGACCAAAATTATAATGCGTGTCTTACATAAACTCATTCTACGACATTTTTTTTATGAATGAAATAATATTATGTATGCGTTACAAATGTATTAGTAGGCATAAACCTCTTAACGTGATTATGTATTAAAATTTGTATTTTTTAATTTATTTGCAAACTTAATAGCCTCTAAACTTTTAATGAAGGTGCATTAAATTATAAAAGCTATTAAATACTAATTAAAAAAGATGTCTGTACGTTATTACAGACAATCAATAGGCAAAAGCGTCAATTGAAGCCAGGTTGGGGCCATGCGGTGCAATTGGATATGCGCTCTGGTGCTCTAAAAATAAAGTTCAAAATTCAAACCTTAGTATCATGTTCTGTGTGGCGCTCGCCGCCTCACCTGTTTAGTAAGGTCGACCGCGTAGAAGCCGCGCCCGAGCCTTACTCGCAATATGCCTGGAAATAATATTAACTATGTTATAATTTAAAAGAAAATATTGCCATGCAATACTTAATATTATTCAAAGACTGCATTTATACTGTGGAAGTATTAGTATTCGCTAATATTTTACTAAATTTCTAAGCCTTTGCCTTCAGCAGAAAAGGCGTCTCTATGAAGATATGTGATACCTAAAATGAACTCTATCATAAAAATACCGAAAAATATATTATTGATTGTTAACTTATATATTGTTAGATAAATAACTACGTCAATATCATTTTGTACAGTTAGAGATTCAATCAGGTATCAAGTAGTACGGTCAGCCTAACTTAATAAAGAATAAAGTCTTGAAACACCAGGAAATATAACAAAGAAATAAAATATATTAATTTATATCTTATAAAATGAAATTAATGTATTCTATTAACGATCTGTGACATACATTCTTTATTGTATTCCTACGCATAGTATAATAATTGCATTTTAATGTCCATGCAGATTTCATGCAATCCCACATACAAACATTGTTGTCGCTTAACGCATTTTAAGGAACATTTTTACTACCATTGCTACAGTAAATCAAGACAACAAACGCTCACTGAATGTTAATACATTTTAAAATAACCAAACACAGAAGCCTTTACTTGTAAATTCAATGATAAGTCACCCGACCTATAAATGTTTCGTTTCCCTATGTACTGCAACAATGTAAAGATTTTATAATAAACTCTTTGTTTTGTTTCGACGTGCGTAAAATGAAATGTCATATAATCGTCTTTTTTATTATGAAAGTCAACACCGATAATTTACGTAACCATAATTTAAAAATGTCTTTTGAAACACCCACGTACCATGGGTTTTGGTTTTCGTGTTATAAAAGTATAACGTATGTGACATGGCGGATAGAAATAAATAAGTCGTCGACGTTAATTTGTCGTCGCTCTAATTGGATGCTCTGGAACACTGTTATGAAATTGTTTTACATTTCTAATCATGGATAATAATATATGTACTTGTGTTATAATAAAAAAACGACGACGCCAGAAAAACGTGTAAGCTTTGTAGTGCCGATGCCTTAATTTAGTTTTTAATATAAAAAAGGACCACCCGTATCTTTTTTAAGACTTTTTCACACGTTATAATCATATCACGACGTTGGTAGATCAGTCAAGTTATTTAATTTACTAATAATTAAATTTTTGTCACTAAGATCAAAGCTCTAGTGCCTACTGACAGACTAAAATGTCTTATACTCGCGATTGTTGTTCCATATCATTTTTAGTATTGTTTTCTACGACAATAATTATTTTCCTTTGAGTACTTAGTAAATTTATTTTGTGCCAGTCCTTCTAATGCCTCCATTAGCGCTGGCGTACCGCGCAAACCCTCCGACTGGGAAAGCTCTAGAAATCTCAGCAATAAATGCCCCGCAAGCGCTAAATTTATTTTTATCGTTTGTACCACTTAAGGAATAAGATTGAAAAACGCTCCCAATATTTCCCCGTAATTTGTCTGCGTATTTTTTTCTTACGGGGCAATAAAATATTTACGGGGTTCGGATGAATACAGGAGTGGATTTGTGAACGCCCTTGTTTTTCCACTTCGACAAATTAATTCATTTCTCTCCTTGAAATTATATCCATCGCTATAAATTATTCATCGATTCAATACATAAAGATGCTTCTAAAATATTCGCAGATGAAAAAATACGATTGAATGAAAATACAATTATTAATAACATATACTTAACAATACGATACATATTATGTATTAGGATAAATCTAAATATATTAAATTCTCAAGATCAGTGTTCGTTCGCAAAAGATGCAAAAGTTAACAAGTGCAATGTACTTTTCCTTCTGAGAACGTCGTATCTCGGATCTCGGGGCGTTGGTCAGTCATTACCTTACGGATGCAATAATGCACTCAGCGATAGGACGTGCAGACTCGCATAATCACACGATCCTTCTGAATACATACAAAAACTTATAATACCTAGTAATTTACTATAGCGAAAAATCCTCAAGCCGTCAAATTACTTAGGCGATAAGATATTTAAAGAAAATAATTACGTTTACTTCAAACTTAAAAAAAGCAATAAAATACGCATAACGTAAACTACGTTTTCTATCACTTACAACCCTCTATTCTGCTGGTATGAGCAATTAAGTTTTGAAAATATTTCATTAATATTAAACCTAACTTAAATATTACTACTTAATGGCGATCGTTTGTTTTACAAGTTTTTAAAGACACCTGCTTATCGATGTAGATTAAACGGGCATAGTAAAAAGTTTATGATACTATCAGTATGATTCGACAATAGAGACTCTAACAACGTAGGTAGCTAAGTAATAACCCCAAATATGTGCATGCTAGTGCATTACGACGTAGACTTGAATATCATATTTAGGGGCGGAGATGAATGCAGCTCTTTGTTTCGCAAAGTTTATGCCCCTTTTTATTGCACCCGCCGTGTAACCTCAGTGACGTGATATACTTAAAGCTACACTAAAAATGTGTGTATTTTTTAAAACATCGTTATTGTACAACGCCCCAACGAGAATGTCTAACTGCGTGACGTCACGCGATCTGATAAAACAATTCAAAGTACTAAATTGAGACGTTATTCAATCACATCATACTGTCACAATGACTTTAAAAGGTTTAGAATAATTTATGATGGTATCTAATCTTTTGACGTCGAACAGAGTTATACAAGATGTTTAAAGAGATATAATGTTATTTTATGTTGCGTTTTGTATTCATGTGTGTGTTATATATCAGTAAGGAACATATATAATATAAGTACAAATTATTGATATTTTGATCAGAATTTTCAGATCACAAAAATCATTAACCGAGGCAATTTAATAAACGTTACTTTAACATCGACCGCAATTTCAAAATCGATGTGACATTCGAATTTGGAACGCAATCATTATAAGAATCGTTTTTAATCTTTTCCGAGTTGTAAAATTCTTGATATAGAATTGGATGTCGTAAGCGTACAAAGCAAATCGGTTCCAACGGAATTGGTTGCTGCAAAAATATTGCAATATAAGATAAGCGAGGAAATGGAGGGTACATTCGACCGCCCGCAATGATTCGATATAATCCGCTGCGACATATGTCGCCCGACGTCTTTACCGGACTTTTATTAAACGAACTATACAGGACAATATATGAAGCACATAACTCATGTCGGGCGTCACACATCACGGCGGTAAACGACCAGTCATTTTTTATGACTTTATTTAGCAGATTGTCTAAAATGATACCTAATTTAGTAACAGTGTCTTATATTTCGTTTGTTACAATGAAATCTAGTAGCCATAAAATGTTAAAAAAATTATTTTTTAAATGTATTAAGTTGTAAAATCAGTTGTTCAGTTACGACGGTTTTTGAGAGTCCATTGTTTTCGATAGAGACGTGTTTCACTTACAAAATAACTTTTCCAAGTAAGGAAGGACTTGGTAAAATATTAACAGACGAATTATACTTTAAACAGTGTCAGAAAAGGACAGGATGAATTGTCATATTTTTACAGTTGGGACTATTTACAGTACTCATCTTTAAATAGACAGATTTGTGTATATCGTTTGATTTTATTGCGAAGCGTAAAATATTCGCGAAAGCGCGGTCGCGTGTTTGCCGAGCGGCGAGCTGCGAGCTGCGTGGAACAAGCGTCTTTATGTTTAGGCAAAACAAACACGCGCCTGCAGGTACCGCGGGAATAAATATTTATGTAAATGTAGGCAGGTACCTATCTCATTGCGTTACATCTGGCCTGAAAATTATTTTAGCCGCGCACCTAATTCTGGTACATTTGCGATGAGCTTAACAAGAACGGGCGAGCGGGGCTTTTCATCTTTGAAGCGCTACATTTACATTTTCGTCTCATTTATTTGCTATTTCGGGCCAAGAATGCCTCCCGCCTCCCCCTCGCCCCTCCCGGGTCCTCCCTGCAATGAATAAGTCTTGGCGTGCGTCAGACGAGTGTAAAACGAAATTGGGAAGGAACGCTCTATAAAGTCTAATTAAGTTAAAATGAATGCACAAGTTAAAGGGACTGAACAAAATATACGAACGATTAATGAGCTTCGTTCGTATATTTTGTTCGTTCCCTAGTCCTTATTAGAAATATTAACATTATATTCTGATTAAATATACATTAAGCGTTTTTGGAAACAATTGGTGAACATCCTTTTAAATATAGATAAATTATAATAGGTATAAACGTAAATCAAATAAAAGAAAACGTTTAGGCAGTGGTTTAAGTAAAAGAGGAAGCCGGATGGCGCATGATCAGAATGTAATCTCACAATTCCGACTTTTATTAAGATATTTACGAAGAAAAGGCGGCGTGTTGTTATTCAGCGGTCGTTTCATATAAAAATAACGCGTCCCTTAACGTAAACCTTTTGTCTCGGCGCGGCGGCCGCTTTCCTAATAGAAATCATTTCGTCGCCACCCCCTTGGTTGTCATTCGCGGCGAGCTTTTAACAGGATGCAACTGTTTTTCATGATTATACTTTGAATTGCCTTATTAATAACTACGAAAACCCTTACTAGCTCTCATGATAAATCTCAGCACAAATTATGAGAAGGCATACCCACTTTATGAGTATAACGAGAAACAAATTTATAAGACATACTTATCTTTAATAATTATAACGTAATAATAAAGGTTTTAGTCTGGATTTCAAAGTTACTTAGTTTATAAGTAAATATCTAGTTTTTAAACTATTTGGAATTTGTTCCAAATTACTTGGTTATTGAACAGTCTACGTGATATTAAACAGATGAGTGGTTTTAAATACATTTTATAATTCCTTTGTCCTCAGTGAGTAGCGAGAGGCCAACAAGATTTCCCATTCCACAAATAACTCCAATAAGCGAGAGGGTTACCTTGATATATTTTTACGGTGCGCTCTCATCTCGGGCCAGATTTCTCTGATAGAAAAACGAGCGAGCCACGAACCGCCCCCGAATATAAATCGCCTTGTTATA